GGACTGACCGCACCGCCGCCGGCGCTGCAAACACTGCTGGAGCGCCAGGTGCGCACAGGAGAGCTCGGACCCCGGGCACAGGCGCGCGTAGAAGGCGCAGAGCCCCGCGGCATCCGGGACCCGCTCCTCCTCCGGGGGCTCCCAAGTTAGAAGTTCTCTGCAGCTGGGCTCGCGAGTGGAGGGGGCCGCTGCAAGCAGATGACAAGTCACCCCTTGCGTGTGGGCTTACTAATCACTCGTCCTCAACTCCTCCAGAGATCAGAGCAGAGGGGTGGAAACCGGCTTGTCCAGAGTCTGGCAGTCTGAGGGACCATTGCTGGCAGGGGGTGCTCCCCCCTCTTCTGCTCCTGCAGCCAGTCTTTGAATACGGCCACACGGGTGTAGACACCAGGCTTCCCTGGCTCCCCACAGCCATCCCCCCAAGAGGTGACTCCAAAGAGGACCTCTCTGGGGCGAGGGCCGGGCTCGGAACAGGTTAAAGGACCTCCGGAGTCACCCTAAGGGACCAGAATCAACAAAGAGCAATGAATTCACCATGTTTCTGAATTATGCCTGTGTCGTTCCTGATGGGGAAGGCGGCTCTGGCCGCTTCTGTGTTTACCACTTGTTTTCATTTGATTAACGAAAACGTAGCGGTTGGTAGGAGCTATCAGCCAGACCCCAAAGAGAAGAGGGCTATCTAGCCAAGAGGAGCCGCCCTTCCAAGGCCCCCTGTCAGTTTGAGTTCATACCTGGCATGAGTCGATTCCCCCCGCCAGGTAACCAGCGCAGAGCATGGTGCTGGGACGCAACCCAGGGCCCAGGGCCTTTTGACAGGTGTCTGCGCTGAGCAGCGGAACGCGGGCCTCCCTCACCGCCTCAGACTCGGGTCCATCTTCAGGAAAGAATGTAGGGGTCCGGGGTTGGAAGGCAGAAGCTGCGTCTTGAGATCCTCCCACTTGCTCTCCGTTTGTGAGCTGGAACAACATTCTAGTCCCCCTCACCCGCCCCTCCAACTTCATCTCCTTAGCTTACTTTCACTCATTCTCTGTTTCGTCCACTACCACTATCACTTGCAGTTTACCCAGGCAATACCTTCGAAGAGGGCCCCCCAGCCTGCGATGGCGCAGGGGGTCCCTGCAGGAGGCTCCCTAGAGCCCTGGGGTAGGCATATGGGGCGCGCCGGCCCCCCTGGGCTCACCGGCGTCCACAGCTGTACCAAAGCCAGGTCATTGTGAAAGGTCTGCGGGTCAAACTGGAGAGCGGGTGGTGGTAGAAGGTCAAGGGAGAGGTTTGGGGGTGCTGCTCCCAGCTCTGAGGACACAGGGCGTGTCTCCTCACCTTAGGGTGGGGTAAGATGCGGTTAACCTGCACTTCCTCCGCTTGCTCCCCCTGGGGTCCCTCGGCTAGCGTCACAGTCCAAAGAAGCTCATTCGAGGCCCTGCTCGAATGAGCAGAAGGTGACACGCATCAGGGTCAGAGGTGCTGTAAGGCCCCCTGGGGCCTCAGTCCCTCGCGGTCCCTCGGCTAGCGTCACAGTCCAAAGAAGCTCATTCGAGGCCCTGCTGAGCAAGCAGAAGGTGACACGCATCAGGGACAGAGGTGCTGTAAGGCCCCTTGGGGGCTCAGTCCCTCGTGCAGTACCGTGCAATGAGCCTGCAAATGTGGCTTTTGTGGTCCTAGGGGCAGAGAGGGAGGCCTCGGAGCGGGAGGCTCCCCAGAGCGGGAGAATACACGGTGTGGTGCCCTCCCATCCTGGGTTCAGCCGGCCGCTGGCCTTTTGAGACCCAGGGCTGGGAGTCAGCTTCCGCTAGGGGGCAGCAGAGACCTGCTCCGCTGTGCTTTGGCCCATGGGCGCTAGACTCCTTCTGGACTGGGTAGCCCTGCTGGGCAGGTGCCTGGGATCTCGACGACGTACCCGGAGAAGCAGTGTGCAGCCGTGAGCACCCAGGACGTGGCCACTAGGACGCCGCCGCACAGAGGCTGCCCTCCAAGTTGTAGCCTCACTAACCAAGGCCAGGCCCCGGATGGAGCTGTATTGCCCCCGACTATACGGCTGTGAGCCCGGGTCACGTTGGCAACGCCCTGATGCCTTTCGCCACATGGTCCTAGAATGTCAGAAACGGCGTCATGAAGGAAAATTTCTAGCTGCCTTCACATGGAGGCCCACCTCGCTCTCAGCCCTGCTCCTTGGAGCCTTTTAGTCTCACCTAGTTCGGGTGGGTCCTGGAGAGGGGTAGCTTGAGGTCTGTGGCGGCCAGGTCCTGCTGAGAAACAATACTTAGAGCCTCACTGCCGCCCTCTTACGGATCCTCCACCCTATGAGGGGTCTGAGCCTTGTCTCTTAACCACTCCCCTTTTGGCCCACCCAATAGCACATAGGTAATATTTGAGCAGCCTTGAACTGTGAAAACATGAGCCCACACTGTCCTCTTTGTTATGCCTCAAGTTTGGCATACCCCTTCCACTTGGACCTTCAAAACTAGTCTGACTCCAAGGAGGATGGAACCTAAAACTAAGGGGTGGGCATGGACAAGGGAATGAGTCCCGTGTAATAGCATGAGCTTGCTGGGGTGTGGTACAACCTTGGCATTCATGCAGTCTGTGCTGGATCTCCATCAACACACGCTTTATGGCCCACTGGGCGCGCCTCTGGGCAGCCTGCAATGCCTGAGTCCCCTGGGCAGACAAGACTGCTGGAACATGGGACACAAAGTCACATCTCCTTGACAGAGAGCCTCAGTCTTCCTGAACCCTGTCTAGGGAGACTATGGGGAAGCAGGGTAGGCTCCTGGAGCACCAGGGATGTAGAGATAGGCACAGGGGCCAAGGCCTGAGGTCCAGCCCTCAGGGCAGATGGTTCCCACTGCTCAGTTGAATTGGGCTGGAATCTCTGAAAAGTTTCTTTCTTAAAGACTTCAGAGGAAAATTACTTCCCACGGACACCCAGTAAATGTGTTTGAGGTATCCATCTTTGGGCCTGAGTTACCAAGGCATGCTGCCCTGGATCTTCTGATTTGCTAACTCTGGAGCCCCTTGGCAGCGCTTGCCGCCTCTGCTGCCTGGGGGAGGCCATCTGCCCCCTCCTTTCCTTCCTATACTCCAACTCCAGGCCCTTCCTCCCAGCAGGTGGGCTGAGAGAGGTCACAGGTCCTCATAAGTGTGAGTGACAAGCTCATCTTTCTTGCCCGGAATCTCATTTCCTCTATGCCCCTCCCGTCCCAGTGGCTTCCTCAGAGCAGCCCGGCTCACCTTGCAGGGTACTGGGGGACAGGCGCATGTACAGTGGATGCCCATGGGCGGTCTGGGAGTCTGGGGACAGTAGCAGCAGCAGCAGCAACATAGTCAGCAGCATGGTGACCTGGGGCCAAGGCAGGAGTCCCTGTCCTCTTCCTGGAGTCCACCCTCTCCTGTGATTCTTCCTGGGCTCAGGATTTGTGTCCCACAAACCGTCTGATCCTGTTTGTTGTCTTACACTAAATTACCCTTTTCCAGTGGTCTGCACCTCACCTGGCCCTCACATCCGGGGAGCCCTCAGGGAAATGGTGCTGGGGGCTATATAGAGGACAGAAGCGGGGAGGGGGGGTGCGTGGGAGGGCAGCCAGGACTGGGCAAGGGAATGAGGTAGTGGGCTCGACCCTCACCTTTGAAGTCTCATCATCCCAGCTCTCAGCGCCCCCACTGCTCTCAAAGCAGCCCTTGTTACTGCGGCTGCTTCAAAGGGGCTGAGTTGGGGAAGAAAAGCTGACGGTTGGGCTGGGGGCCAGGCAGAGGGAGACTGGTGGGCAGGGGTTGGGAGGGGGTATCCCCATCTGCTTCTGCCCCCCTGGGGAGTTCACTGCTATGCTGGGGGCAGGCACTCTTGGAAGGATGAGAGCAAGGGATAGGGGTGGGTGTCCTGGGCATTCTCACCCCCTAAGCAAGCCACCGAACTGCCAGCCCCCTGCCCCTAATTGCTTGGCAGTGTCCCTCCTCCATGTGGCCATTTCTAAAGATGATCAAAGTATCCTAATTTGCGCCGTAATTGCTGCACTGGGGTAGTGGGAAGAGGCAAAGGCGGGAGATGAAAGGCCCCACTGTGGCCCAGTTCAGGGAGCGCAGGGCCCGGCAGCTTCTGAGCCTCTCAGACCCCTGTCCCTGTCCGCTCAGTGAGTCCAGCATTGTTTTCAGTTGCTGTGACCCTGATCTGGCAGGAGGGAGTCTTGAGAGAAGGACCATAAATAGGCAGCTGTCCTGGTACCCAGTGACCACCTGGGGCAGGGTGGAGCCCTTGGTAAAAACAAAAAACTACCCCTGGCACCTCCATTTATGTTGGTAACAGGGTCACTTTGATTAAGGTTTTAAGTACAGGAATTGGGACATACTGTGACCAGGGGTTGTGTTCTCTTCCAAAGGACTGTTTATCACAGTCCTTACCCATTCTCCCCCTCTGTTACCACTGCACTGCATTCAGGGAGGTGGGGAAAATTCTAGGTGTGGATTGCTGCGTGACTTTAATGACACTACGCATATTGTTTATCACAGTCCTTACCCATTCTCCCCCTCTGTTACCACTGCACTGCATTCAGGGAGGTGGGGAAAATTCTAGGTGTGGATTGCTGCATGACTTTAATGACACAGGGTAAATCTTATGTGGTCTCCAAGTTCTTAGCAGAGGGGTGTGGTTCCTGGCCTCCTGCCTTAGCCCTGTCAGGCCAGTGTGGTTAGCATGGATCCATCATTCCTCAGTCTACCTCCCTGGCGCAGATCAGGCTTTGAAGGCCCTGCTGGCTGGAGGGGAGCCCACCCTTCTCTCACCCACACAGCACAGGGCAGGACCTGGAATCTCAGTCCCTTCAGGTCTGTCTCCTACAAGTTGAGAAGCCCCACCCCCACAAGCTAGTCTGAGCTATCTGCACTCCTGAATTCGGTCATCCGCCACCTGCCCCTGTGTATGGGGATCAGTGTTTGTCCACCCTGTCCCTATGCTGTCCTCAGCACCAGGACTGAGCAGACACATGCCTGTGATGAGCAGTGCAGGTTTCTGTCCTTGCCTGGAGGTGTAGGACCTCTTTCCACTCCTCCTCACCATGTCCTTCTCTCTGTCTATGGCCATCTGTAAGTCCTTAGTGTCTTGGGCATGTACTGGGGATGGAAGGGGGGGGGTCTGTATTATGCAGATAGCTGGTCTGCTCCAGGAAAGAGAGAGGGGGTGGGGCGGCTAGAAGAGGAGAAATCAGGGGTCACACAGGTATCATTAAAGGTCTCCCCCTCACTGTGTCCCCTCTGCACCCTGCATGTCACTCCCCACGATGAAGCAAATCAGGACAGACCAGGTGGAGGTGCCGAAAGCTGTGGTCAGTGGCTTTGAGCTGCATTCCTGCCCTGTATCTGGCAGTGACTACATAAGGTGTGGTGGCTCCCAGTCATAGGCCCTCCAAAACATTCCCAGTGCGGTGGTGCACACCTGTAATTCCAGGATGTGGAGGCAGGATGGTTGTGTGGCCTCAGGACTTGGAAGCTAGCCTGGGCCGCAAAACAGGACTACATCTCTTAAATAAAATAAAAGGTTGTCTTCCTTCATCTCTTCCAAACTCAGAGGGAGAGGAGTCTGTGTTACTGAGGGCTTTAAAATAAAAGACTGGGTTCTAACAGCCACAACTTGGCTTGGACACCTGTTACCAATGCACCAGTTAAAGAGACAAACTTATTCAATGTGGTCACCTTGGGCAGGGAACAAGTAAAGGTTCCAGTGGCCCCTCCCATCAAGTCTGTCCTCTGAGGGTGCTGACATGAGATTTAGGTTTAAATAGAAGGTAAATTATTCATGACTGAGCAGTCCTGGCTGAGATGTGGGTTCTCTCCCTCACTGATCCATCCTTGTCTTGACTCCTGGGATCATATACATTATCAGAAGAATCTGAAACCTCCTTCTGGGAGGCAGGGACCTCCCTTGGCCATCATCAGACCAATCTTTCTCTTCCCCCAGGAAGAGATTCCTATGGAAATTTTAATTTGGGGTGTAGAGGTAGAGTCTTCTTCTTTTCTTTTCTTTCTTTTTTTTTTGTTTTTGTTTTTTGTTTTTCGAGACAGGGTTTCTCTGTGTAGCTTTGGAGCCTATCCTGGCACTCACTCTGGAGACCAGGCTGGCCTCGAACTCACAGAGATCCATTTGCCTCTGCCCCCCCCCCCAGTGCTGGGATTAAAGGCGTGTGCCACCAACGCCCAGCTGAGGTAGAGTCTTAAGATACTCTTATTTTGTCTTAAGAGTCTCGTACCAAACGGAGAGCCACAGCTCCACCTTGTCCTTCGTAAAGGCATAGGCAAGCCCTTAGCCACCTACTTCCATTCTAAAGGGAGGAAGAGAGAGAGGGAAAGTGGGAGGGAACCTGCCCTAGTGGGTTCACAGGAGGCAGCTGTGAATGAGTTCAGATGAGGGGAAGGGGGGAGGATGGGGAACACAGGTTGGAGGCATGGGGGAGCGGAAGGGAAGCTCTGTACAAGGTCCAGGCCCTCCCCCAGGAGCCAGCTAGTGCAGGCTGGTTGCAGGTATGCTCTGGGGAGGGAATTCCCCTCCCTCACTTAGGCCTCCAGGTAAGCACAGAGGGCCTGTGACTACCTCCTGCATCACGAAGTCCCTGACTCTGTGGTTTCTCAGGTATTTAATCCCAACTTGGCATCAGGAGGCCAAGGCAGGCGGATCTTGGTGAGTTTGAGACCAACCTGGTATATGTAGTGAGTTCCAGGACAGCCAGTAATACAGTGAGACCCTGTCTCAAAACCAAGAGACGTTGACCTCCATACTCAGTCAGAAGAAGGAGCAAAGGGGGGAACAGGAGGATGAACTTGCTTAAGAAACCGCCAGGCTGTCCCACTCCTCACAGTAACCCCTGCATCCGTACCAGCTGGCCTGGAGGGCACAGAGTGACCATGAACTGATGTCTGATGCAATAAAATGTGAAGGGGACTGACATCAGAGTGGGATGAGAGGCCACTCAGCTGTGACTCAGAGCTCAGGCCTGTGCATCTGACTGCACTCCTGTGTGAGCTTTTGTGAGTCACTTCCTGCTGGGGCCACATCATCCCCCCAAAAAAGACATGCTGGAGTTCTAACACCCTTATCTCCGAATGTGACCTTGTGTGGAGCATGCAGCAGTGAAGAGGTTTGGGTGCTCAGGCCAATGTGACAGAGACAGAGGCAGAGGAGGAAGCTGTGTGACAGTGCAGGCAGGAACTAAAGGGGTGCAGACCTAAGAATGACAAGGACTTCCAGAAATGGAGAAAAGCAGGGAAAAGATTCCTGGCAGTGGCCTGGAGAGAGCAGGGTCCTCCCGAGCCCTTGGCCTCAGAAATGCAACTCAGGGTTTGTTTTAAGCACCCAATGGGTACTCTGTGACAACGGCCCCTCACAGATGGATGGATGGCTTCTCCTTCTGCCTGTGTAGTCATCCAGCAGGGTTGTTCAATATCTGCCCTGTTGGGAAGATTAACAGAGTTGACACAAATTAAGTCTTCCTGCAAGGGGCTGGCAGGGTCATCGCTCTGAGTCTGGTGGAGTGTGGGGTCGTCCTAGGATGCTGCTTCTCCGGATGAACAGGGGAGGCAGCGAGGAAGATGTGGCAACTCAGAAAAGGAAAAGGGACCATGGGGTGGTGGCGGTGAGAGGGGCTCTCCAGGAGGTGGGAGTGGCCTAACTTCAGAGGGTGGCTCAGAAGGGGGCCTTCCTAGTGGCTATGAGTTCCCCTCGGTTCCTTAGCTTTGCTTTTCTCTGCCCTTCCCAGCTCATCTAAGCTGTGGGCTATGAGTTCCCCTCGGTTCCTTAGCTTTGCTTTTCTCTGCCCTTCCCTTCTCCTCTAGGCTTTAGGAGGGCCCTGGGAAGGTGGGGGTGCTGTCTGGGAGCAGGGGGTTGCTGAAGCTGGGCTATCTGCCACAGGCTCCATGAATTGAGAGCAGGGTAGTATTGGGATCAGCCCGAAGGGCTCAGTGGCTGGGCAGACTCTACCTCTCCCTTCTCTTCTTATGCAGAATTTAAAGCAATTCTCCTGCCTCAGCTAGTCACATGGACATATTCAGATGTCACTACAGGCCACTGTTTTACAGACAGAATTCTACCTCTCCCCTCTCCTCCCCTCCCCTCCCCTCTCCTCTCCTCTCCTCTCCTCTCCTCCCCTCCCCTCCCCTCCCCTCCCCTCTCCTCTCCTCTCCTCTCCTCTCCTCCCCTCCCCTCCCCTCCCCTCCCCTCTCCTCTCCTCTCCTCTCCTCTCCTCCCCTCCCCTCCCCTCCCCTCCCCTCTCCTCTCCTCTCCTCTCCTCTCCTCCCCTCCCCTCCCCTCCCCTCCCCTCTCCTCTCCTCTCCTCTCCTCTCCTCCCCTCCCCTCCCCTCCCCTCCCCTCTCCTCTCCTCTCCTCTCCTCTCCTCCCCTCCCCTCCCCTCCCCTCCCCTCTCCTCTCCTCTCCTCTCCTCTCCTCCCCTCCCCTCCCCTCCCCTCCCCTCTCCTCTCCTCTCCTCTCCTCTCCTCCCCTCCCCTCCCCTCCCCTCCCCTCTCCTCTCCTCTCCTCTCCTCTCCTCCCCTCCCCTCCCCTCCCCTCTCCTCTCCTCTCCTCTCCCTTCTTTCCTCCTTCCCTCCCTCTCTCCCTCCTTTTTTGGTACTGGGTATTGAACCTAAGGTCTTGCCTATACTAGGCAAGTACTTTTCCACCAACCTACATCCCCAGCCTTCTTTTTAGTTAGTTATTGGTTTATTTCTCTTTTCTTTTCTTTGTGTTTGATACAGGGTCTCAAGTAGCCCAGGCTAGCCACAAACTCACTGTGTACTGAGGATCCTCATCTCTACCTCTAAGAGCTGGGATTACAAGCATGCGCCCCACACCTGCTATTTGCTTTTTTACTCTGATTTTAGATAATCTCTCTAATTTGCCCAGGCTCACTTTGAGCTCACTTTGTAGCTCAGGTTGGCCTGGAATTTATACTCCTCCTGCCTTAGGATCCCCAGTAGCCAGGATTACAGACCTGTGTGATCTTTTTTCTTCCCCTTCCTCACTTCCTTTTCTCTCTTACCCATCTTCTCCCGTCTTTGTCTTCCATTCTTTATCTTTTCCTCTCTGCCATCTCTCTTCACACATTTCTTTCCCACTTCCGAATGTGGTTTAAACTGTGTTTCTCTGATTTTTTTGTAACTGAACCCCTTGAATTCTGATGTGGAATTTGCATTATCCCTTGTGATGGTTTAACA